TGTCATCTTCTTTTATTTTTTTACTAAAACATTATGTTATATAAAATCGGTAAGGTAAAGGGAGAAAAAATTTATAATAATTTTTGAACGTTTGAATCCGATTACTAGTCCTGACCTGACCTGACCTGACCTGACCTAACCTAACCTTATCGAAGTTACCTTTGGATTGTAAGCAGGTTTAGGGCAGGGTAGTTGTTTTTAAATAGATCCTCTTTATAAAATTACCGTAGTCTTCCAGTTTATCATAAAGCGAGGTCCTCTTTTTTCCGTAAAGCGAGGTCCTCTTGTTTACAGTAAAGCGAGGTACTCTTGTTTACCATAAAGCGAGGTCCTCTTGTTTACCGTAAAGCGAGGTCCTCTTGTTTACAGTAAAGCGAGGTCCTCTTTTTTACCGTAAAGCGAGGTCCTCTTTTTTACAGTAAAGCGAGGTCCTCTTGTTTACCATAAAGCGAGGTCCTCTTGTTTACCGTAAAGCGAGGTCCTCTTGTTTACCGTAAAGTGAGGTCCTCTTTTTTACCGTAAAGTGAGGTCCTCTTGTTTACCGTAAAGCGAGGTCCTCTTGTTTACCGTAAAGTGAGGTCCTCTTGTTTACCGTAAAGCGAGGTCCTCTTGTTTACCGTAAAGCGAGGTCCTCTTGTTTACCGTAAAGCGAGGTCCTCTTGTTTACCGTAAAGCGAGGTCCTCTTGTTTACCGTCACCCACAAACTAGGTGGTCCAATGAATAAATAATGAAGGTTTGTTGAATACGATCTTCACCAATTACCTGCCAGTGTTCTCCCTCACTCACAACAAATACATCAGCTGGTCTTGTTCAATTAGGTGTGACAGATTGAAATATTTTACAATCAGCACCGAGTCTTTCACTTACCCGCACCACACGAAATCATTTCATAATCCAACGCGACACTATTTCATTTTTCAAATTATGTAAATATAATCGTTGTGCGATAAATCACAATAATAGAACTTTATTTTATTCCCTAATCAATTAAAGTAGTCAATAATACTTCACTGTTGTTCGTTAAATTCTTTCATAATTCAACCTCTAAGAAAGATTTTTTTCATAAAGCTACATGACGTAATTTAACTTATTAAATGGTAGAAATATAATTCTAGAGGAATAAAAAATTAAATACGATGATGAAGTTCAATTGTGTGTATCAATAATAATTCAACGAACAAACTGAAAGATCAAGCTCAGGGACTGGCGATACCGCTGACTAGAGAACACAAGTTTCTACTGTGATAATTCACAAGACACTAGGTGAAATTATAGCCTTACAGCAAATTATAGGTGTCATAGTGTTCTTACATACTATATAACCTGTTGCTTACCTCGACAGTATAATGTATCAATTGTAAGAACTTAAAGAGCCGTCATTGTTAGGTTAGGTTAGGTTAGGTTAGATTAGGTTAGGTTAGGTTAGGTTAGGTTAGGTTAGGTTAGGTTAGATTTGTTAACGAAACCTAATGAGAATCAACTTATCGATGCTATGTATAAAAATAAGTTGTATTCTGTAAACTATTGGTGGATTTAATAGTTTACTCTCATATCAGGTAAACTGTTTACTGTAAATAGTGAAAATCATACAACAAATACTGTTAATATGTCATTTCCCAATTACTGTTATCACTCAATGATTCAAATGTTAATAGCCACTAATGTTAACATGTTATCCACTCACATTAACATAACTATCTACTACTCTTGCACCATTAACACTACTGCCCATTAATATCACCACCTCATTATCCACTTTGTTATAAACTATTTTCGTGATAATAAATTAATAGAATTACAATACAAAAGTTAATCAAATCTCGCCTTAATAAACATAATAGTAACTAAAGTCACCCAACTCGACCCAACCTAACCTAACCTAACCGAACTTAACCCAGCAACCTAACCTATTCTAACCTAACCTATAACTAAATTAAACCAATCTAACGTAACGTAACCTAACCTAACCACACAACCTACAATTGTGTTCGTGTCAGTAAATTATTTAAACCGAGCCAAAAGTTGTTATGTTATCTCAGGGTCAGTTAAAGGGTGGAGATAATTTTCACTCTTTGTTGTTGTTGTTCATGTTGTTGTTGTTGTTGTTGTTTTTTGTTCATGTTTTTATTATTGTTTTTGTTGTTGTTGTTGTTGTTCGCCATTACAAAAACTCTGACCATTTTAAATCCCATCCTGCGGGAACAAACAGCTATATCAATAAACTTATTTTGCCTCATTTAATCTCCATACTACCCAGCTAACCTGTATGACAACCAAACACTGCACCATTATGCTCACGTGGTCCAGTAGGCGGCAGTTGGTTGGATTGTTAAGGTCAATATTAATGGTGTCTGCTGATCCTCGCCCCCCACTCAACTATAAAGACAATAATGAAAACTAATATTGATCACCTTACATCTGGCGACCAGTGTTGATATTTATACATATATATTGATTTTAATATATATTGCAGAATGAGTTTCTATATGCTGTATAAATAGTGTGTGTGTGTGTGTGTGTGTGTGTGTGTGTGTGTGTGTGTGTGTCTTCAGCTGTAGGGAGCTGAAATTATCTATAAGTTGCACGTATATCAAGCAGTGGTCCTCCCCACCCCGTTCTGTGGCAGTGAGACATGGGTTACATACAGGAGGCACCTCAAGGCACTTGAAAACTTTCACCAACGTAGTCTACGTTCCATCCTCCGAGTTCACTGGGAAGACAAGAGAACAAATGCCAATATTCTTGCTGACACCAACTGCAGGAGCATCGAGGCGACCATTATCCATCAACAACTACGCTGGACTGGCCATGTTACTAGCATGGACGACAGTAGACTGCCAGAGCGGCTACTTTACAGTCACCTAACGAACAGTAAACGTAACGGTGGCGGGCAACTGAAAAGGTATAATGATAGTCTTAAGACAAACCTGAAAAAGTGCCAAATCGACCCCCTCACCTGGAAGACGATCACTCCACACCGTAACGCTTGGAAGAACACCACACGAGAAGTTTTCAATCTTTTCGAGTTAGCCCGAATGCATACCGCCGCTCCTCCCACACTAGATGTAGCCCTCCACACGTACAACATCTATGGACTGCCCTGCCGGTCCCGTATCGGCCTTTCTATTCACCTCAGAGTTCACCAACGAAGGTGACATCCTTAATAACTCATATCATTGTATCATAGCTGGATGATCGTCATACTCAATTCCGAGTGACAGTAAAGTAGTACTGAGCGTGTTATTAAAATTAGTAATAAATGTGAGTTAGGTAAACAACAACAACAGCAATAATAATAATAATAATAATAATAATAATAATAATAATAATAATAATAAACACAGCAGCAGAATATCCACATATAAACAGTGAGTCGAGGCCAATCAGTTACCCCTCGCTACTAAAGAGTTCAATTGCACGTAGTCGATGCGTCTTTGTTTCCCCTCTCCTCATCAGTACTCTAACATGATCTACAGTTAGTAAACGCTGCAGATTAATGGATACTCATATAGCTATTAAAACCAACGGCAGAGTCAATATAATTTTAAATGGACTGATTGTTGTGGTTGTAATTAGGTTATAACAACAAAGGAAGATTGAATCATCGTCTAGGAACAACTTGACTTATACACGCCTCCGACACGTCACCATGACTGGTCTTATAGTAAACTGGTTTCCTTGTCACACACACACACACACACACACGGACACACACACACACACACGGACAACTCGTATGCTCTAAGATAATAACGGCTTCTGATTGGTTGATTCTCTCATTACGAAGACACTAAAGAAATATATCAGTCAGCGCATTTATTTCTCATTAAAAATCTCTCATGGATTATACACCGCCATGAGGATTATAGGAGTAATTACATCATCTATAATTTCGTGTGTATGAGAATTTATTATGTTATTACAATTATTATTAAAAACTATTACATATATTTAATGATATATTATTGAAAGAGAGAGAGATAGAGAGAATAAGAGAGATAGAAGGAATAACCCTGGAATATCTCTCATCTCCATCTCTCATTTACTCCAGCGTAATGCATGAATCTCCTGTTTCTTCAATAATATCATATTACCACTCATTATTTCTCTTCTTCATTTACTATTTCTCTTCTTCCCTCACTATTTCTCTTCTTCATTTACTATTTCTCTTCTTCACTCGCTATTTCTCTTCTTCTCTCGCTATTTCTCTTCTTCACTCGCTATTTCTCTTCTCCTTTGGCTATTTATCTTCTTCACTCGCTATTTCTTTTTTTCACTCGCTATTTCTCTTCTTCACTTACTATTTCTCTTCTTCACTCGCTATTTCTCTTCTTCACTCACTATTTCTCTTCTTCACTCGCTATTTCTCTTCTTCACTCGCTATTTCTCTTCTCCACTCTCTACTGCTCTTCCTCTCTCGCTATTCCTCTTCTCTTTCTTTTCTCGCTATTTCTCTTATCCAGTTCCTTGTTCTCTCCTCCTGGCATCGTTCCATCTTTCCCTCCCACGGTGTTGGTGACCTCTCTCTCTCTCTCTCTCTCTCTCTCTCTCTCTCTCTCTCTCTCTACACACACACATCTCTTCATTGTCTCTATTCACTCTCATTTCTTTTATTCATTTTAATTGTTCATTCTATCCCAGTGTATCTGTCCTTATTCATTCCTATCACTTTCCTATCCCATTTCTAACCCGCTAATCATCCCATTTCCAACCTTTTCCCATTTCTCCATGTTCCATTTCCAACCCCCCTTAAGCAAACGTTTCTTAATTGCTTCTTCTCTTCCCCTATTTCCAACACTTACACAAGAGACACGGGCATGAACCTCGTATACTCTAGAGTACTGTGTATGTGTGTATGTGTATGTGTGTGTGTGTGTGTGTATGTGTGTATGTGTGTGTGTATGTGTATGTGTGTGTGTGTGTACGCTCACCTGCTATTATACGCCCTCATGCACTCCTTCCCACACCTTTATGCCCTGTTACTCCCTGATACGCCCTCATGCCCCCCTGCCCACACCCTCATGTTGATACTCCCTATTACGCCCTCATGCCCCGATACGCCCCCATGCACGCCTTCCCTCACCCTCATGCCCTGAGACGCCCTCATGCCCTCAACCTCATGCCCTCCTGCCCACACCCTCATGCCCACGCCTTCATACCCTCAACCTCATGCCCTCCTGCCCACACCCTCATGCCCTCCTGCCCACGCCTTCATGCCCTGAATACTAAGAGGCAAAACAGCTGGCAAGCGAGCGACCACCACCACCACCACCACCGTCAACACAAACCGGTCTGAGCTACAACTCTAACAGCAGTCTTAATCTTTTTCTTCTATTAAACTTTTTCAATTTCGGATTTATTTTTTGTGAGTCTTTGCTGAGTTTTATTACGTTGTTGATTACTTTTTGTCATCTTTTTTGCGGAATTTTGGTCATAGTTTTTATTTTAATTTAATTGTCGATTTTTTTTTGGGTTATTCATTGTTGGATTTTTATGTTTCGGTTTTGTTTATGTAATGTTTATTTATCAATGTTTTTCTTCTTCTCTTCAACTCACTTTCTTTGTTTTGATGTTATTTTAATTTTTAGCGATTCGTTTTATCCTTTTTAATTTGTTTTAATGTGATTTCTACTGTGACTGTTTATCCAATTTCCACTGCCATTTATTTTTAATCCATTCATTTAGCTTCTAATTATATACACACTAAGTCTATATTGAGATATTTGCTTAACTATTTATCCAATCACACAATCATAAATGCAAACAGTTATTCATTTATCCAAACACAGAATTATTTATGAATAAAGTTGTTCATTTTCATCCAATCACATTCATAAATTTATTCATAAACCCAATCACCATAATCATTAATAATAGTCTTATTTATCTATCCAGTCATATATAAAAATGCATTTATATACCCAATCATATATGGAAATTAATTTATATACGCATTCATATACAGAATAAAATATATTTATCCATATACCCAATAAATAAAATTACATACCAAATCATATGTATAACAGATTGACTCGTTGTATCCAATCAATAGCAATAAATATGTACCTATACTCACATAATCATATAATAGACTTCTTCATATACTCGATTATATATCAATATATTCGTATACCCACTTAGTATATTAGTCTGGAGTGAGTCTTTGAGGTCAAGGCCACAGACAGAACCTGACCTCACCTGACCTGACCATCATCCTGAAATATGACTTCAAAGGCCTGACTCTCGATCCTACTTTGATCTGTTTGTAAGTCTGCCTATCTTTCTGTCTCTCTCTCTCTCTCTTGCTGTTTATTTATCTGTCTATATGTCTGTGCCTGTCTTTTTTTCTGTGTCTCCTACTGTCTGCCTGTCTGTGTTTGTCTGTCTGTCTGTCTCTTTGCCTATTTTTGTCAACATGTCTCTATGTCTCTTCGCCTTTCTATCTTTTAAAGGGTTATTTATCTTTGTCTCTCTCTCTTTCTATTTATTTCGTTTCTGCTTTTTCTTGCAATCTCTCTCGTAATTTCTCTTTTTCTTTGTTTGTCTACTTAGTTTTCTTTCTTTCTCACCTTCCCCCCCCCCCTCCCCTTCTATGTCACTTTACCTTTTTTTTCTCTACCTCTTTCTTCCTCTCTCACTTTTCTCTTTTTTTCCCTTGTCACTTATTTTCATTTGTTTTTATTTTATTCTCTTTGCCCATGTCTTTATCGTGTTTCTCTCTATGCATTTCAGCCTCAGCAACGGGAGAGAGAGAGAGAGAGAGAGAGAGAGAGAGAGAGAGAGAGAGAGAGAGAGAGATAGAGAGATAACTTCCTAGTATCAACTGAATACTGTACAAGAAATCTTATTGCATATCTCGAGGCCTTCCCTTTGAACACCTCCCTGACGACAACCTGTAGTGGAAGCATCGTCCTTTCCTCTTAGTCCTCTTCAACACCTTCCCGACGATGAATTACAGAATCAACATCGTCTTCATCCTCTCTCCCTACACCCCCGGCAGGAGTCGTACCAGCGCCTTCCTGACGTGCATTGAAAACATCGTCAGCGTTCCTACCCTCCCCCCCTCCTCCGGATGTCACGACAGCGTTCCTGAGCCACAGGGAACGCGGTGATGCGAGGCGTTGTTAGGTCATATTTATTCTCTTGTGTGAATTTCGATCCTGTTTTTGTCTTAGCGCCGTCAGATAGGTGCAAAGATCTCTAGTATACTTTAAATAATTGTATCCTTCCCTGGTGTGTGTTTAAACAATGCTCTCTTAAACTTTACGAAGGAAGATATATAATTGTAAATAAAAAGCTCCTTCACAAACATACTTACAAAAGAATGTGATAAATCATTCTCTCGTGTCCTAAGAACGTTGACATAACATTAACCTTCAAAATAATCCACATTTATCCCTCGACTGATCATTACAGAAATAATCAATAATACTCCAACTAATTCAATTAATATTTTACGACATGTTGTAAAAGTATATAATTTAGTAAAGATAAACAAATAAACAATTCGGTTGTAGACATTGATTGTAATTATAGGTTAAATATATTGTATATGTTACGACAAGACTGGATTAACACGAGTGGCTTTATTGAACACTTTGGTGAGGTGAAGTATATCTGTGAGACCTTATCGTAGTGGTGACCTCAGGTGGATGACCTCAGTGGCTGATATCTGCTTCTTCACCTCACATGTCCTCACACTACACGTCCTCACCTCACACCACACGTCCTCACCTCACACTACACGCCTTCACTTCACACTACACGTCCTCACCTCACACTACACGTCCTCACTTCAATTTACACGTACTCACTTCACACCACTCATCCTCACTTCACACCACACGTCCTCACCTCAGACTACACGTCCTCACTTCAATTTACACGTACTCACTTCACACCACACATCCTCACTTCACACCACACATCCTCACTTCACACCACACATCTTCACCTCACACTACACGTCCTCACCTCACACCACACATCCTCACCTCACATTACACATCCTCACCTCACACTACACGTCCTCACCTCACATCACACATCCTCACCTCACTCTACACGCCCTCACTTCACACTACACGTCCTCACTTCACACTACATACCCTCACTTCAATTTACACGTACTCACTTCACACTACACGTCCTCACTGCACACTGCACGTCAACACCCCTCAACAGCTCTCCACTACTGAGAAGATTTCCCCAAATTCCCATAAATGTTGAAACCCAGACACTCACCCCACGAGCCCCTCAGTGACCCAGGTCATGGGTCACTCTCAGCCACTCTCGTCCCTCACTAGACACGTCACCAGGTGGGTTAGCTCACCTTACAACACCATTTGAAAGAGCGCCACTGCAAGTATATAAAAAAAAAGGCGAGCGAACGTACGTCAGACGCAGCATCCACCACAGATAAGGTTTAACATGTCCCATCCAAGTCAGTTTTATCTTACAGTGAACAGTTTGACCCCCGTATTCTCAAAGGATAATTAATATAAGTCACTTTTCCTTAACTCAGAATAACACAACTCACAAAACATACAGTATAGTCTTAGGACAATATTGACACCATTTTGCCCATCCTTATATCGTATTTTATATGAGACAGTTGGAAAATTTAACGCAGGAACCTTTAAGCATCCACCTGTGTGTTGTCTCCTAAGTGAAATAACTAAAGGCCATTCTCACATCTCCGGGTCGAACAGGAATTTATAGAACGTGACTTTCAGAGAGTGGGATGCAAGGGAGGGGAGAGGGGGTGAGGAGTGGGAGTGTGTTAAGGTAGAGTGGGGAGGAAGGTGGGAGTGTGTTAGAGTGGGGAAGAGGGTTGGAGGAGTGTGTGAGGGAGGAAGGTGTGTTAGGGGTGGAGGAGAGAGGAGGGAGGAAGGTGTTAAGGTGGTGGAGAGAGTGAGGGAGGAAGGTGTGTTAGGGTGGAGGAGAGAGTGAGGGAGGAAGGTGTGTTAGGGGTGGAGGGAGAGAATGAGAGAGGAAGGTGTGTTAGGGTGGAGGAGAGGAGGGAGAAGGTGTGTTAGGGTGGAGGAGAGAGGAGGGGAGGAAGGTGTGTTAGGGTGGAGGAGAGAGTGAGGGAGGAAGGTGTGTAGGGTGGAGGAGAGAGTGAGGAGGAAGGTGTGTTAGGGGTGGAGGAGAGAGTGAGGGAGGTGTGTTAGGGTGGAGGAGAGAGTGAGGGTGAAGGTGTGTTAGGGTGGAGGAGAGAGTGAGGGAGGAAGGTGTTAGGTGGAGGAGAGAGGAGGGAGGAAGGTGTGTTGGGTGGAGGAGAGAGGTGAGGGAGGAAGGTGAGGGGTGGAGGAGAGGAGGAGGAGGAAGGTGTGTTAGGGTGGAGGAGAGCGAGGGAGGAAGGTGGGGACGTGTACAGTATCCACCTGTCTGCTACCTCGCTCTCTACGGCCACCTGCTTTAATTAACCTGGTGGTGGTTCTCAACAAGTTTTATCTCTTTTTATCTTTCTCTCACTCTCCTAATCCTTTACGATGTCAGTTCTTCTCTTTCCCTACCCCTCTCCCTTTCTTCCTTCCCGTCTATCTCCCCGTTCTCCTTCCTTTCCCCCCCTTACTTCTCCCTCTCTCTCTCTCCTCCCTCCAATCTCTCTTCCCTGCCTCTCCTTCTCTTCTAACTCTCTCCTTCCTTCCCTCCTTCCTCCTCCTCCCTTTCTATCTTCCCCTCACTCTCTCCCCATCCCCCCTCTCTCCTCTCCCTCCTCCCCTCATAACTCCCCTCTTCCCCCCTCTCCCTCCCTCAATCACCACTACTGTGTGCTCGCTCTTGCAGGAGTTATGGTGCTCAAATTTTATGGTGCCATTAGAAAAATAATCACCGTAAAAGGAAATTGTTTGGTCAAGGAAAACACTGAGTTCCGCGAAGCCAATACCATGAAGACAATACCATGAAGGCAATACCATGAAGACAATACCATGAAGGCAATACCATGAAGACAATACCATGAAGGCAATACCATGAAGACAATACCATGAAGACAATACCATGAAGACAATACCATGAAGGCAATACCATGAAGACAATACCATGATGACAATACCATGATGACAATACCATGAAGACAATACCATGAAGACAATACCATGAAGACAATACCATGAAGACAATACCATGAAGGCAATACCATGAAGACAATACCATGATGACAATACCATGAAGACAATACCATGATGACAATACCATGATGACAATACCATGAAGACAATACC